GGAACGAATCGGTGTACAGTCAGCAACGGAAAGTAGAACACTACTATTTTTATACAAATAACTTGATTTGTGTACGCTGTAGTTTTGTAAAGGTAATTTTATTTAAAAAGCGTACACGCACATTTAGAACATGGCCGAGACCTATTTAATCTCATTCGTTCAAACATTCGAATTTCGAACGTCGAAATATACGAAATCATTCAATAAGTAACTGTATAATATCTGATTTAATTAAAAAAAAGAGTTCTATTTAGTCTTGTCCGAAACGCTTAAAGCTCGTTTCAATCTGTGGTTACGATAAGATATAAAATGTATTGTCATGCTGACTGTACGTACGAAGCAGTTGCACAAGTTTCTTTTGTCATTGTATAATGATGGTTAGCGATGTTTTGTGTGTTGGAATGTACTTCGATTAGACTTATGTGCCATACAGAAATGGATCATTCTTTAACTAACGAATGATATATTACACTATTCTTATCATGGGAAGGCACTAAGGAATCGTTAATGAGTGCAAATGTGATCAGATTTTATGAGATATAGTGATCGATGGTTACCATCGTTCGTACTATTTTGTAATTGATGACGGAAGGCTGTATAACCATCACAAACAAATACAACCAGAAATGTCAACTGCAAGATAGGCTTAAGCTTATTTAGAGCATGCAAAGAGGTTGTAATAAAAATAAAATATTTTCATTTAAATTTCGAATACTGTAAAATTCTGGAAATGTCATTATTTATTATATCAGTTTGTAATTATGTATATTGCATTTCGTCTTCACGCAGAAAGGTTAGTAATTTTCAATATTTCTGTAAACTTTAATATACAGTGTTTCTCCAGAAAATGTTTCAAGCCGTAATAGTAACGTTATTGTATATAACAAATACATTTGCTGTAATTGACATGAATCTATCACAATTTTCGTATATAGCGAAGCATCTAACACAAACCGAATGCAGCATACTAGCTTCGTCTCTTCGATCGAATGCATACGAATTTCCAGAACTTAAAGGACTTATAAATAAAGAATGTTTAGAACTCCTGCTTGAATGGCACAACGGAATCACGGGCTTTGATAAAACTCACGAACTCATAGCGCATAGATTACGTCAAATAGGACGAAAAGATTTAGCCAAGTGGCTAGGAAGAGTTGTTTTCCACCAACTCGCTAAAGATATCAACAATACACTACTTCAAAGACCATTTAGCGAGGACGTAACAGAACATATAGTTAATATAACACAAGAAAACAAAGATGATATAAATGCTATTGATGACTGGGATGGTCTAGATTCAGTTTTGTGTGCGATAATGATTGTACTAGCCGCTAGTTTGATAATAACGTGTTGTAGAGTTTTATTTACGTTTAATATTAAATCTAAGACGAATGAAGAAGTTAAGTTACTGGAACGAAATAGTGAGAGCGAAGAAGGATATTAAGTGGGACATTGTCTTTTATAAATTTTATTAAGTCTCAGGGAAAACTGTTACTCGTAAGTACGTCAAGATCTTTAGTTTTAAAAATAAAAGTAATTTACTTTCTTTTAGTTAATATCCAGCCTTCAGACCCTATCTTAATTATTGATTGTATGAATATTTATTAGTATTATATGCTTTACGCATTGTATTCTTGGCTTGGCAATAATTACATCGTAGGTACACGTATTTAATGTAAAACCTTTGTCCAACGAACTTTTAATGGTAATTTAAAAAAAAAAAAAACAAGGAAAAAAAAAAACGCTAAACGACGCACAATGGCTACACGCTGTAGTTAAAATACTCTGAAACAAATACAAACGGTATGGAGCGTCTTTGTAGTAGTTCTTAGAAATATTCCTTAAGAAACATCTTGTAATTATGAAAAAGACCACTGCGAAAAAGGGACGACGCACATCGCTGGCGTCATATACAACAAAAGAAGCCAATATAAAACGAAGAACGCATTCGTCGCTAACAAGGCAGCTAGTCTTACCATCAGCAGTGTCATCTTGAGATAAGCCTCATTAGTGGCTTTAACTTCATCAGTCGATACAAGTAAATGCTTAAGCTAATAGCACTCTTTAACTGTTCAAGTTTAATGCTACTTAGCTCGTGTACCGTCCTATCGGAGTGGAGGGTTAATGTTGCAGATTGTCGTCATAATGACTTTGGAGGCTGGAAATTCAAATTTGCTTGTGTGTTGTTACAAGACGGGAAAACAGTATGTGAAGATTTGAATAAAACACTTTAACGGTTTAAAACGACATATATATATGTCTTTTAAACCTTCCAATATATATATTGGCTAAACTTATTTGAAAATTATTTTAACTGCCCGACGTTTCGGATGCTTTACAGCAGCCGTGGTCTCGGGAAGACGTATATCGCGTTTTAAGCCGTTAAAGTGTTTTATTCAAATGTTTATTACTCGCGTACGAGTGTCTCTATGTAGTATGGGAAGAATAGAATTGATATGAAACGACTAGAATTGGAAGATAATAAAACATCATTGTTCTGAAACATTTAGTACCAGATTTCCAGACTATATTAAACATATTTTAGAAGAATTATAAATTTCTTAGCTGCATGCCGGACCTACTGGGACCTAAGATCCGTTGATTACCCATTCATTGCTACTATTAGACCATAGAGTCCGTCGTATAGTCACTAATAGTCGTTTAGAATTATTTATGCACTTCGGTATTCGAACTCAACAAATTAACGTGTATATAAAATAATTAAACCAATTCTCGTAAAATATACTTAAGATGTTAATTGCTAAGGACATGCCAGATTATATATAAAAATTAACAGAAATAATATTTGATGCATATAATCTTAAAGTTTAAGTATTGTTTGTAGTTGCGCGATAGTACAATTGAAGTAAAAGATTTAAGGTTCGAACAAATCTTACGAGTTAGCTTACTTTTAAATATCACCCGAATTAAACACAATTTAGGTTAACTTTTAAGTATCTAAGCTAATCGATGTTGACTTTATTGTCACGTGAAGCGAATGTCGTAGAGTACTTTATGTAACAACTCACACGCTAAATAACTTATAATAAATATCCCTACACACTGCAAAAGGATGCCCAAGGCACGTGCGATTTTATTAATTGCCAACTATCACAACTTGGATGGCAAACGTTTGTCAAGAACATGATAGTGAATTGTGTTAGAACTGGCTGGAAATATTGTTTATTCGCTTTGTCATAGTGTTGCAAGTATGGGAATTTTTGGTTTATTTTTATCTTGTTTTCGTAAATATAGACAAAATTATTTTATAATTATGTATCGAAATCATTGCTCTTGTTTGTATAATTTTAAAATTGGAACAGAGTGTCTAGTCCTTATGGCTAATAATAAAAAATATATAATCTGTATGGCTAACCGATTTACGTAGATTAGTTTGATACCCAACAGGAATTATAATTTTCCGAAACATGTTATGTCTGCATTCTATTCTAAATTATAAATGGAATACAAAATTCCGTCCAAGTAACGACCTTCCAAAAATGAAAGAGTTGTTTTGGAGCAAAGGATATCTATTTAAAAAAATGTGATAAATTTTTCAATAAAAAAATCTTAATATAGACTAGATCTGCAGAAGAGATCTTATCTATTTTATTATCTAACATAGTATAAGAAACATTTTAGACTTACAAGAAATTTTAGGGGTCTCCTGTTACGTGTTTTAGTACTCATTAAATTGAAATTATTTTTAATAAATATTTATTCAAGATTTTTATGACTTAGACTAAAAACTTTTATATAAAATTTTTCTCAATATTTCCACGTTTACGAAATACATTAAGTCTCTCAACAAATTAAAATATAACATTTGAACTCTTAATTGATGTAAAAATGTTATTTTGCTTTGATCGAAATACCGTTAACGGTAATTGATAGTTTTGACGTAAAATCTACGCACGATCATTTTACGGGCGCTTTAATGTTTTGAAAGTAAACTTGTTAAGACGTACTACTTTTAAAATTTAATGGAAATGTCTTTTATGATGTTTTAGTTTTAGTTATTTTTGCGAGAGGACTTTACACCTCTCGTAAAGTTCGAAATCCGTGCAAACATAATAAATTGTCCTACCATAAGGGCATAGAAGTTTGGCCAATACAGTAGATAAAATCGTACAATGCACACAGGCACATCTGTTAATTATGCTCCACTTACTCTGAATAATTAAAACCGAAAACCAATGCAATAAAGTATAGGTAATTTTTTTTATTTGAATAGCTTAAGAGCTATGAAGGAAATTATTAAACAGTCTGAGTAAGTACGCCTTATAAAACAATTGTTTAAGTAACGCTAAAGAAAGATAAGCACTACGTCACTTCTCATTATTGATTGAAGTGTGTACGTTTAACGAGTCCTTCAAAAGCAAGTCGATGCCTTAGCCTGCTATCCCCCAAATATGTTCTAAGTTTCAATATTAATATAAAAATTAATAATTAATAGGTTCCTATCACGTTAACAACTTATTACTTCGATACTTAAGTGCTAGGTTCCGTAACATAATTTAATGTTTTAATTAATATTCAAATAAGCTTTTAATTTCACTCTCAACTTTCAATCACTTAATACATTGATTGATTTTTATTAAATTACTTCTATCTAATGCGTTTTGCTTTCTCGAACGGGTCATAGATGTTAACAAAAAATATTACATCATATAATTACATGTACGTAAAATTATAATGCTTTTTTACGTGTTTGAAGTTAATTATAATATTATAAGCATCATCCCCACATACCTGATTTGTGAGCTTGAACCCATATATAAGGAATACACTGCGCCAAGGTCATTGCCCTTTTTTATTGAAAGGTTAAACAAACTAATGTTTAACTGTTTAAACATTATGTACCAATTGTAAAACGAAGTAAAAAGTGAAGTACATTTATTTATGGACTTTTACCTGTTCACTCTCAATAGGAGCTGTCTTGATCATTTAGATATAGACAATAATCTGTTTAAGTTTGTGTATGAATAAGATTCACTCACCTTTTGATCACCAAATCGCATCTGCCTTCTCGCGTTCCTGGCGACATTCATCCGACAGAGAAATACCCTGTCTTCCCCATCAGAGGGCGCTCTAGATAGCTCTGACCTTACGGCTTGCTGGTCTTGTTTATCTATTACGTCATATACACTGTCTCCGTGAATGAGCAGGTCCTCCTGAAAATATACAAATGAGAGTATATCTAAAAAAATATTATCGGACTTTTAAAAACCATGACTTAAAGTTGGGTCAAGGCTAAAACTTCTTGTTCGTTTGTCCTTTTCGAATTTCAAAATTATAAATGTAATTATTAATTATAACGAAAAGTATAAACGCAAAGTTAATACTTAATTAAAACCCAAGTAGTATTTAAAAGGACGAACAAGGTTTAAACCGTAGTGTTTTATTTAAAAGAAAAGAGTAGTCAAATAAACTAAGCTTAGTCTCGCAATGTCTTTCGGATAGAAGGATGTTTGGGTTTTCATTGTAGTCATGTCCATGTCCACGTCATGTACCCTCTAACGTAGATGTATTTTCTAATTCGCGAGAAGTGTCAGCTCCACAATTAAAATAATACGCTGCGGTTGGCACAATGATGAAAATGTTGAAGTAATCTCGCTGCGTGTACGCCTCTTTAAAAATAAAAGCGTTTATGTTAATATCGCGGTTACGTAATGAGATATTAGCGCGGTTCCTTTATTAACGTTCTCGGAATGTCTTATTACCTTTGTTTTGTAATATTTCCCAATATTTTTCAAACAATACGAGCTCTTTTATTTTTAGTGCAACGTTTAGCGGTACTGTCTGTTGTTTACGCGAGTAGTACACATTTAAATAAAACACTTTGACGGTTTAAAACGCGATATATTTTAGTTCAACTTGTTTGAGAATTATTTTTAAGTACGGCCCGACGATGCGGTGCTTTGCAGCAGCCGTGGTCACGGGGACACACGGGGAGTCTATGTTTAGCGGTAATTGAGCACAGAGCGGAGGTAAACTGACATTTTATGAATTACATATTATAAAAAAGTATCTATGCAGTTTAAATAAAACACTTTAACGGTTTAAAACGCGATATATTAGTTAAACTTATTTGATAATTAATATTAATTGTTTTATGCAGTATTAACATATAGGGAAATAAAGTTTCAAAATACTTTTATTACTTATTAAATAACATTATTTTTATAAATTTTATGTACAATATATCTGCTATTGTTATATAAGATAGAGAGAGTTTAAGAGAGAAAGCCTGGGATCAAAAACCCAAGAAAATATTGATAAATACTTTCGGTCGAGCAGGGCACAGGGATGCGATAAACTATTTGGCCAAAGAAAAATTGATAAATGAAGTTGGCACAGAAGGGTGTCCGTGGCCTCAAGGGCGGAAAACACGATTTTACCTTTGTTTTAAATTGTTACCTCGATGAACCAGAAATAATGACTTCAATAATTATTAAATCCATTAGTTTTACAACGAACGGGAAGATATCCATTGTAATATACATATTTGTACATATCGTTTCAAGTTGAAGGTCTTATACAAACAGAATGAATTGCTTTATAGAATAAGTCAAAGCTAGTTAAACTCATAATTATGAGTTTCTTACCTCAAGAGCGACTCGCCCGAGGTCAGACAGGGTTAATAAAATTGTACTTTAATTTTCTTTGTTTGTAAATAGCAAATTTCAATTAACGTCAGCTTTATTAGCTACGTGTAATTAAATCATAGTTTATGAGAACGCGTGTTTACATCTTGCAAGTAATAAATACAATATGAAGATAATCAATTTGGATTTATTAAAAAAATTTCGTGTCTCGCTAATTGCTGTCTCATTCGGTATGAACTCTTAAATGTCCTATTGGCTGTGATGTTTTGTATTAGATGTGTGATTACCGACAGCTAGATTGCAAAGCGAGCTGTTATGTTTACTTTTCTAATTTAATTTTGTAGCTCTTAAAAAAATGTAGATTTTAAAATCTACCATGAATGTGTACATATTATCTGTACTTTACGCAAGTGCCTCTCATGAAAAAAGACCCGATTAACGATTTAAAAGATATGACTTATTGATTTCTTCAAATGACAACGCAAACAAAATAGCAGTTTGGACTTTGACAATAGGGACACCATCCATCGTCAATCCCCTCGTGGCCACGGCTGAAAAACATCCTTAAAACTGTCCGTAGTTAAAATAAATTGTAAATAAGTTGTAAGTGTACTAAATTATTCCGCGTTTTAAACCGTTAAAATTATTCTATTTAAATCTTTACTGGGCTATGATTAAATTTTAACAAAGTTATTGTTCGATCTCTAAATACACCAAAATAGTTTCCTGAAATGTGGTGCAGAACGCGGCACCGGGTCGTATTTACCGCATCCTAGCGCAGCATAGGAGCGTTTAGGAACTGTCGGGCAAACCGTCGGGTCGGCGGAAACGATTAAGCGTATTTCATTTTACTTTTCGGTCAACCGCTTGGTGCAACCATGCCCTAACAATAACTGACAATCATGTAATACGTGCGCATATTATTAAGTTATATCTAGATGCTATGCTCGGTTAAGAAAAAGCCGCACGTGGATCCCTGTGAAGTGACGCGTCATGCGGCCACGCCCACCTGTCGCGGCCCAGCGCGGTATGACATAATTGTGGTCGCCCACGCCTGCACGGGGGTCTTGCGATCCGCTGGATGTAAGGTAACTGTTATTTAATTACTGCAAGCGTCTTATAGATGTCTTACAAGACTCTTGGATTCGGCTCTACCATGTCTATGTTTTTTATAACTCCGGCGAAAATTTTACATTTTTATTAAATAGTTATGTTTATTTTTTAATCATTTAAAAAAAGACTTTGGAGTACCTTAAAAGTTGTTAAGGTGTTCTTGTGCCCGTTTCCCTCGTGGGGCATGGGGCGTATACATTTATGTGTCCATTTCATTGATCTGTTCTTTTAGTAGTTGATCAGACATTTGTGTCCTACGTGTAATCTAAACTAATATTATAAAGCTAAAATGTTTGTTCGTTTGCACGCGCTCATCTCAGAAATTACTAATATCAATTGAAAAAATATTTTTGTGTTTGTTAGAGCATTTTGAGGAAGGCTTTAGGCTATAAAACATCACACTGCGGCCAACAGAGGCGAAGAAACACTGGAAAATGTGAAAAAAGCAGACATGGTTATTGATTTGTGAAGGTTTCCATAGCGTGCGCTGCGAAAACGGTTTATGATTCCTAACACAAAATTGGTCTCTAGTATTAAACTGTATATTAAAATTAAGAACTTGTATCAGTCTCCCCGTGACCACGGCTCCTGCAAAGCATCCGAAACGTCGGGGCGTAGTTAAAATAACTTTTAAATAAGTTAAACTAACATAAATCGCCTTTTAAACCGTTAAAGTGTTTTATTTAAATTAAGAACTCTTAGACATCTAATTTCGTAAAAAAATATTTCGCCCTTAAACGTTAATTTGAATGTTCAAAACGTTGATACAATATTATTAAATGCCAGTCTAAAATAAGTAGATTATCATTGTATCGGGGAATCGGCTGATCTAACGGTCAATAAGATGGCAGTATAATAGAATCAATTGAAAATAAAGAAATACCGAGAAGTGCTCTGCTGGAGATGAAATGATAAATACGACGGCCCACCGCGTCGAAGCCAACAGCAAAACTTTGACTACTAAGTACTACCTTTTTTATTACATTCAGAAGACTGTACTAATACGCTATAGAAAGTATCTTTTTCTACACTCTTTAAGTTGAAAGAAACAAAACATGCTATCGGAACATACAAGTTTTTTTTTAAATTTTCGAATAGCCTTTTATTTTTCTTTTCTTCTGAGTCTGTTAATAACTTATACTGCCTAGCAAATTGACAAAGATTTCATTATAAACTGATTGAAGAATTATTTGTTAGTTTTTTGTCAATAGATGACGTCATTGTACAAATTACGAAGACGTATTAAATTTGCTGCTTACATCTAACATGATCTCCAACTATATGAAAATTCATTGTTTATTTTTATTATAGTCTCAAGAAATTTCTGCCGTTTCGACAGGTGTCCTTATCCCATAAGTCGACGGGCTCGTTGGTTAAGATAGCAATGTATGTCTAATAATCAATGAGTAGTGGGTTCGGTCCCCACCGGCCCCAAAATGCTTATAATGAATTTATAATTTTCTAAAACATGTCGGCCTTTACTTGAAAATCTCGATATTTAACGGGTGGTATTTACCTATTGAAATTACGTCCGGATCACTAACTACCGTCCAAAGGTAAAAAAATTGTCAAGTTTAATTGTGTTTCGATTTCAGTCCGTGGATTTCCGAAAATCCAAAATAAATAAGAGTCTACAGCCCATCATTTTTCGATGATATATAACTAGGGTATTTCATCTTTCATCAAGTGACTGTCCTAAGCCCCAAGTGAATGTCACCGAATACCAAACGAGTTACCAATAAAAAGATGTTAGTTCAATCAAAGTTTACAACTTATTATTAGCAGCCAATAAAAGTGTATTCAAGAAACGACGCCTGCGGCGATTATCAATCAATTAACTTGGACAAGAGTACAAAGCTGTTAATAATTAACATAATCTAATACTCATGGCCCTTGTAAACATGTATGAACAAACATGCCCCTGGATATATGTAGATTAATGATGTTAACGAAAGCCTTATGTCTTACAGATTAATATTTTGATTTATGGTTTGTTAATATACTTTTTATTTATATTCATTTTATTACCCTATTCTATTAAAAGTTTAGTCCCTTACCGGGCTTCCTGTTTAAATCTGTCAATAAAAGGAACTGTTAAAAATTTACCACATATAGTAATTATACTCTTCTAAAAATATATATTACGAATAATTGCTATCACAATAAAACACTTTGAACGGTTTAAAACACGTAACGTATTAGTTTAAAAAAATTCGTGGTCTCTATTATCACGATTAACAAAATAAGTTTTGTGACTACTCGCGTTTCAAACAGTAAAAATTATTTTATTTAATTGGGTACTACTAAACTACAGGCTTAATAGTTACTATGATAAGTATAACAAAATGGTTCCTAATAAACACATGGAATCTCTTATTGTTTGAATATATATAATTTCTATAATAGTAGAATATCTTATATATAGATATAAATCCAGATGGATGGGATATTTATCAGTGGATACAAGAGTATATTATTAACATCTTAAGGATACCCAACCGTGAACAACAACAAATGATGCGATGGATACAACATTTATATCTCAATTGATTACCCGTTGTTAAACAATTGTTCATGTAAGTTTTCAATGTTTAACAGCAGGCCAAGCTGCGCCCCGGGCACTTCCTTCGCCATTTGACAGGACCAAAACAGCGAGATCCTCCATGTCGCCTTCATCTCAAAGAAGTTATAAGAGTGTGGATAATATGCGGGGTCAAGATAGAATGGTCATTACTCAAGGCATATAACTAGGCAAAGCGAGCGACGAAAGTGCATTGTGTATCATTATCGGTTTGCATATTGAATTGTGAAGTGTATTGTTTATGACTGTGTGTGGCCTCATGTAAAGAGGAGGAAAATGAGATAGACTTTACAATTATCACATTTATAAGACAGGAGGACTCAGAAGATTGATTGAGAAGATGGAATGCTTTCGACTTTCGGAAACATAGGCTCAAATAGAAGTATGTCCAAACTCCACAGCTTTTATCTGTGGACGGTAGTCCCGGACGGAATTTCGATATTCAGATTTTTCAGACAAAGTTAAACCCCTTAACGATGCCATTAGGCCAATATAAAATCAAGGTAATGAACTTTGTAATACTGGTGTGTCTTTATATGAATATATTTAATACACCACCTAATTAAATACTGTCTATAGTTTACGCGAGTAGTACACATTTAAATAAAACACTTTAACGGTTTAAAACGCTGTAAAACGTGACCACGGCTGCTGCAAAGCATCCGAAACGTCGGGCCGAAGTTAAAAATCATTTTCAAATAAGTTTAACTCATATATCGCGTTTTAAACCGTTAAAGTGTTTTATTTAAATACACCACCTAATTGTTTAATGCGAGTTATTTGAAAATACAGTCTAAATCCTTTTCATTTACTTACCGTTATGTTTTACAAGATTGTATACTTTTGTTTGAACAGCTACAAGAAGTGAGTTTCTTGTCCACAATAAAATATATAAATCGCACAATTTCGAATAATATAAATCAATAATTATATCTTCTAAGTTTACATCCTAAATCATGTGAACCACAGACTAAAACAATTACAGTATAACAGATTAAAGCAATTTCTAATATCGTCCGCCCACACTCTAATTCTCTTCTTTAAACATCGCATTAGCTTGCTCTGGCTATAACTAGACGTTTGGATTAAGTACTTATTCTAAAATCTTATCATTAATCTTAATTGCGGAATAACAATAAAATATTACCTATACACCGCAGTGGAGGTAGCGAAAAATGAGCTTTATATATATGAAAAATAGATTCAAATTGTGTTTGTTTACTGTAATGATCGATACTGATCATTATTACGGGCCTTATAAGAACGGGATCGTGGGAATAATGGAGATAGTTGAGTTATGAGATTCTGATGGACTTCAAATAGCTTCAAGTGTTTCACTTTGGTAGTCATTTTGCTCTCTGTGTCGTCGAGTATACTTAAAATTTAATAAGACGTGTTTTATTTAGGTTATTTTGTCAAGGTGTTTAAATTTGACAAACTAAACATACTTATATATTTAACTTTTAGGTTTTGTGTACACGCACGTAACGTGGGTACATATTGAAATTGTAAAGATGAAGAGTTTGTTTGTTTGTACTTTTTTAACGCGCTAATCTCAGGTTCGACTTGAGATTTTTTTGAGTTTTTTGTTGGAGCATTTATCGAGTAAGGCTTTAGGCTTAAAAACATGATAATAAAACAGAATGCAATCAATAGGGGCGAAGAAACAGTGGAAAAGGGGAAGAAAGTGAAATATATATTCCACTTTCAGGGTTTCCGTTGCGTGTGCTGCAAGAACCATACAAGATACCCCAAAAATATGTATAAAATAATGATTCCTCTTTAAATTATCTTAAACAAAATAGCGACGTTATATGTCTATCCTTTAAGACTTGCAAGAACGACGGGAAGGGTCGCGATCGACGTCGTGGGTAACAGCTTAAATTAAAGACAAAAAAAAAATTTTTTCAATTCGAACCAGTAATTATTGAGATTAGCGCGTTCAAACAAACAAAGTCTTCAGCTTCATATATTAGTATAGAATAGATAGAAGATAACAATAATTGTCACAGATAAAACATTTTCCAAATAAATTTACGTCAACAACAGTCTGTGGTATTGCTCAATAAAGTAGATGTAACGTTTCAATGCTGATCAGCAATCAGATATCAAACGGGGCAGCAACATCAGTTTGATTGGGGACTTATCAGATGACATCTGACAAACCAGCTAGAAGTATCTACAAATCACAACAATCACAACTCGAGAGAATCAAATTTATAAGTGCTCTTGTTGATGGAATTGCTTTTATTTTACTAGAAACGAATGTATTGTGCAATTTTGATTCAGATTATTTAATAAAGATAAAACTACGAAGTTTTAATTGAATATAATTAAAAATTATGTTTACGAATGTCTTTTTTTCAATTAAAAATGATTGTGTATTGTGTTGTAGTAGGTACATTATTTTTGTAGGTGTTACGCATAATATATTGGAACTCATACTATTAAGTTTTACATAAGAGTAAAAAAAGATATAGACATTTTTAAGAAAACATTATTGTTTGGCGCAATATTATTAATACTTTAAGTTTTTAATTTAACCTAATTTACCTTTAGTAGTTTTTTTATACCTAGATAAACAATGTAAAAGTTAAAGATTATGGTTTTTGTTCACATAATTTCTGCCAACGAAATAAATATGCAAAGTCACAATTTATCTACTCTTAATATTGTAATAGTAATAAAAAGATTAAAGAAAAATTATAAACCTTTGCACAATATTCAGCATCCATAAATTCGAATTGATGGAATACACTACCGTATACCATAATTACAATAAATTATAATTGCGATCCGAATCGAAATTTCATTAGACAAATAACAGAGCTTTCTAACAGTACCCGCAATAAAAAATAATAAAATTAAATACGACCTGTGTGGTATAATTTCAGTTTCGCCGCGTGAAGCGCTACCATTGATGAGCCTAATGATAGCCAGTCAATGTGTTCAAATTATGATTTATAGCCGAGATCTTGATAAATTGATACTTAACTATTATTTATTTCCTTTGCTTATCGCGGTATTGCGGCGCGTTTTAACTTTGGGATTTTGAGAGGGTAGAATGGTGACAAAACTTCGACACCAGTTTATATTTATGTGAACAATGGAGAGATTGAGTATCCTGTACTTTGCACAAGTACAGCTTTAAATAAAACACTTAATAGTTTAAAGAAAGCTTCCGGATAGTTAGGCTTTAGTTAAAATAATCAAACAATAATTTGTTTGTAAATATATTATATTTTGCGTTTTAAACAATTAAAATTGTAAAATTTTAAAAGATACACTATATAACTTATGTGAGGTATGGTTTAAATACCAACTTTAATCCTAAACTTTTGATAATAAAATAAGACTTACCATAGAATGACCGAGGTATTCGGCTGCATTGTCTGATATGTAGAGGAGTTTTCCGTTCTGCGTCATCATCATGAGGAAACCGTTGAGTGCCTGGTAACAATGTATATTTTCATCAATAAATCGTTGATGCTTGCCTCTACTTTTCTAGACTATTCGAGGAAAAGTCCGGGAAAATATAATCTACTTGTGGTGAAAATAAATACGAATATATGTAATAAATTCAAAATCTATGTTGATTGGAAATAAATGACATTGGCGGGTTTTGTACTGGCATCCAAAAGGGGCACATCCAAGTTCCGTCGTATCGTAATCGTTTTTTCAATCTAGATTTTTATTTTAAATAATGTTATCCTACATAATATTTAACATTAGATTACGTTTGTACGTCCAACTAAAAACACAAGTGTTGTTATGTAAACATTAATTATTATTTTATATATATTAAACGAGATCTGACTTTTCGCTTCCTTATATTTTACACGAAGTGTAAGACCTTTATATCTCTCGTACGACACACAACCATTGTTTTGTTGTTCTGCTAATGGAAAGGGCAATAGTTTCACAACTTTATTGTGCGTTAGATCTTTACGACTTAGGCTGTGGTCTCCTATAAACGCTTTTAACCGCAATTATAACTAGTTAAGTTGCTTACGTCTTTATTATAGCAGAAGTCGATAAGAAGGATTGATAAAAACATTTAAAATAACGCGGCGCAAAGTGTTGCATCTCCCTTAAGTTAGCACGTGAAGGAGACAACAATAAATGTAAGCTTGTATATCACAAAGCTTGACATTAATTGTCAATGTCATTCTGACTTTTGGATCTGACTTATCGTGATTAATACGGTAATTTCTCTATTGCATCGTCATTTGCTAAGCTATACGGTCATCTCGTTTATATGAAACTACAGCCTAATAGCCACTATTATGAAACTACCACTACATAGTTTAATTTATTATTTATTCCAATTTAACCAGAGCTAGATTGGAGGTGATATTCAATTGTGTTAGGCGCTTGATTTCACATTTTGTGTAAAACAGTTTGCCTTAATTTACTAAAATGATAGATTTAAACTGCGCCTTTACACAGTTAGCCTTTACACTTGTATATTGTGCTAAAAATAGACCCCCAGTGTAAGTTAACTTTGTCTTGCAAAATATTAACCGAAAATAATTTCTATTGGATGTGACATAAAAAAACACAAAAGATTTCATTTCATTTTATATAACCCACATACATACCTACATTTTACTTTATCAATTTCACCAAACTCACTTGGTGGTCCTAAAAAACACGATAAAAATATTGATGTGGAGACATTAAGTGAAATGAAGAAATTTTGGATTTCAATTAATAAAAATATGATAATAATCAAACGGTGTTTTACCGGTTTGTGTTATAAAAATTGCTTTTTACACAAAATACTAAATTACAAAGGCCGAAACCTAATAACGGGTTGCCAGAGACCACGCCTGTTTAATACGCAGTTTACTTAAATCGAAATAACACTTTTATTTGTCTCTCTCTGTTTTACGAGTATCCTGTGTTGTAGAAAGTGACAGATGATCATTATTAATTTGTACAAACCGCGGCGTGGGAAACGGAATTGTAATAAAGAAGTTAAACAATCGCCCATTTTACAATAGCTGGTGGGTATATTAAATAAATCTACTTATATAGCATCACAGCAAAGTGATTAAATATAATATGAATATATGATTTCTTTTTAATTTTCACTAAGAGTAATTTTTATAATAATGACTTTGTTCTAATTTAATATAAGAATATAGATAAAAAGAACCAAGAGATAGAATACGAACTGTAATTCTGTCAATTAGGTACCTGTGCCTATACTTTACTACTTAGAACACGGACACATTTCTATACCCGTTGAATTGATCTATGTATTCTACAGGCATTTATTAGGCAGTTGTTTGATCGGATATTGTTTTCTCTAAATTTGGATCACTAAACGTACAGAACGTTGTCTGCTTAACACATTACTAATAATAAGTAACAACTAATGATTATTGCAATAGATAATTTATTTATTAAAAGAAACTGTTATACCTTTGAAAATCCAAAATTCGGTCCTGTACTTGGTTGCTGGGTTATGTCGAAACGTTTGAAAACTGTAACAAAAAGAAATCATTAAACCATTAATAACATACATTAGACAAAAAGGCTTATAATAATTAATCCTGTAATGTATTATTACGTAGGAAACTAATAACTATTATTTTACAAATGTCCTACCACATAAAATTGACAGACTTCTGTGTAGTAAAAATATAATGCAATTCTGCTAAATGTTAAATCTAAACCTTTCAATTTCAAAGTTATATAAATTCTAGTTTACAATCTATCTATTTCTGGTTAAACAATTTTACACACATAATATATTATATATTGATAAGAGATAAACGGAACGAACAATCGATAATTTCAGGCGAAATGGAATTGTACAAATATGTGATTTATTCTTAATGGAATAGATAGATACACAATATACATATGTATAACTAAAGGCCGCCTTTTGTTACCCAGATATGTAATTCAATTTATTTCTACAACCCCACCATACCCAACTATCAGTCCCTTAACAAAAAAAACAAACTAAGTTAATCTTATACCAAGTAGAATTTACATATTAAAAATAATGAAACTATGTCTAGCCTATATTGTTTTTCGGGCTGTTCGGCCGACCTAAGCGTGAAGCGGTTCTCGACATTTCGTTACCACGAGCGGACGACACCACCAGGAGATGCTGTTAGCTCAAAATGTTATGCTGAACGATTGCCGTGAAAGCCTTACACAATTTATGAAAGTAGGTCTGTTTCTATGGACTTCTCTGTTATTTATTTTCCCTTCTTAATTAATTGTGCCGCAATTGGGTCTCTTTTACTTAAACGGTAGTACCTATTGTGGCTATTATATAAATATATAAAATTATATGCGTTGGTAGTTTAAGAAACAATAACTCCCACAAATTAGGATTTATCACGGCGAAGTTAAATGTACCATAAGAGGTTTATGTTCTAGCAACAAGAGCGATAAATCGTAAGTAGCCGAACAGTGTCACCAAAATCGACGTATACGCAAGACAAACATCGCTCATAATTAATCGATTCAATCTATCGATACTTTCTCGTGCGGCCTAGACAACAGACAATAAGCAAGCTGAGCCAACCGATTATATCGATAAGATAACGAACAATTCCAGACTCTAATGGGCCCGCCATGGTGTATAAGGGGATTTACACTTTCGAAACTATCTCGAAAGGGTTCGGAGGATGGATTAGAATATTGATAAGCTGGTCTATTTTTGTTGCATATTATGCACGGATAATCAAAGCAATCGTCGATTAGCATAGCAAATGTAATCTATAGATAGCTTTATGAGTTTTCGATGATAATTTTAAATTATCGAAGCATTTTGTTGGTAATTTGCGATTTGTTTATATCTTAATCTGTAATTAGGGCTTGTTTATTAAATATAGTTTTCGTCATACTTAGGAAGGACCTGATATTTATCCTGGTGATAGACAGCCAGCAAAATCTTAGTTATCATCTGTCACTCGTTTTACCCTGCGTAAACGATGCAACTAAGTATTGATAGATTTCGTTAAATTGATTTTAAAATTAATTAAATTATGAATATGTATATATTCAAACTTACATAATAAGAAAAAGTAACGTTCTTAAGTGGGGAATAGGGCAGATACATATTTTTGAATCCTATTAACTTATCTATCATTTAAACTTAGCTAACTAAGTTGAAAAAAATCACCCTGCCCGATAGAAAATATTTAGACTCTTAGACATTCCATGCAACTACGGAGGCTTGTTAGTAATTACAAGTATGTCTTATCGATAAGTAGGTAACATAATATTATGTATATCCAGTTGGCCTAAGACTACCGCCACTACAACGAATCTAAACATATTCACTTACAAAGTAATTGCTCCCTATTATATTATAAACAAACGATTCCTAAACACAAATATAACAGCCTGCTCGTCTCGTCGATTTGTCAAAGTCCATATAAATCGCCTCACGAATCTCTAACCCATTCTAATGTAAAGGCATTCGTTTTAGCGCCCTCTCGCGGTTTCACAAATGACAACATATGAACGTGGCCAATTAAATGTTGCCAGTAAATAAGCACGACTTTTACGTAAGCTGAGAGCTTTGTCTACAGTTATAAATTATAATATACAACAAAAGTAATATAAAGGAAAAATCAGAAATCGAACTTTGGACAGCCGGAGATCGACCATATAGCGTATGAAAGTTCTCAGATGGATCAATTATTTAAAGTTATATGCATTTAAATTCGAATTATGGTAATTTTTTTCGATAAGTTGCGTACGCGCCGATTTCGTTATACCACGGTGATAAAGAAAGACATTAAATTTGTAAACTTAAAATTAAAAGTTAATTATACCTAAAATAAACATCAATAAAATAAAACTATTACTCTACCCTACTCTATTAAAATAATACTCCTAGTAATATATTGACGAGGCTAGTCGATTAGCTATTTTGGTAACCTTATGGTAAGCTAGCGTATTAAAAAATATTATATCCTTTTAAAGTACTTACAAACATTTAAGTACGAATTATAAAATTCTTTCGATCAGCTGCGTCCGCGCCAATTAAACTATAGCGCACTTGATAAAGTAAGACAGTCGTTTTTACTACTACCCTCACATCGAATTAAATTTTTTTAATTCATTACTCAATATGTTTTTAATATACATAAACTGAAATAATTACAAAGTATTTTGATTAAAAGAGCTCTCAAATGGAACTTATTTAACAAAAAAAATGCAGTAAAAAGCAACTGTTCTATAAATGACATAACCAACTATCTTATAGCAACACAATCTACTAATCGATAACGCCAATTAGCTATTTTGGCAACCCTACGTGTAATCGTTACAATAATTAATTAGGAGCGGCCGGCGATCGTTTTGAAACGCATTCGAGTTCTGTTAATCAATTCTAAGTACCTCCCATTTATCTGTTAGCATGTTGAAGAACTGACGACTAGAGATGGACCTTCTAATGAACCCGAATATTAATAACTGTGATTTGTAACTATGAAGATTAAGTGATAAACGCTAATGTAATTTATAGACCGTTAGTCTATTATATTTTTGGTAAGTTGAATGGATAAGTAGTATGCGATAATGGTTAAACATTAAAACACTTTTAAACATGTATTGTCTGTAAACTACGTTAACTAACAATTGAGCTACCAACTCGGTAGCTCAATTGGCAGCAACACGGAACGCTGGCGATGCCAGTTCAAGTCCTGCCCAAGGCGAAAACTTTTTCAACTTATTTTCGATTTTTAAATTATTATAGTTTTTAAATCCTAAAACTATTGCTACTTCATGGTTCGAATCCAGTAACTTTCGTTGAATGAATTGAGATACGGAGGCGGTAAATCACTGCGCAATCGCAGTGACCGGAGAATACTAGCTCTTATACTAAGCTCCCCTAAACTATATATTATGACACAGTTTATGACCTTGATAGTAATCTATAAACATTATTTAATGCAATTAGTGCAGGCGTATTATGAGATAGATTTACAATCAATGCTTGGGCTAACACAGAGCAATGATTTTATAAAACGAGCTGTGGATGGTGTTTCGTGAGTCGTACGGAATGACGATATTTCTACGACCCACTTAATAGGTATCCAGATTTTCAGACGAAATCCAACATGTTATAGAAAAATTATAAATAGATTTTTCTGTTGTAAAACAAATAGTACCTATCAATGTTCTTCTCGATGGTCATGCGTTAAATATGATGCTAGTTGGTTGAGTTGTGCTGTACGAGTATTTTTGATGCAGATAAAACCTGGATGCATACGTTTACGTGAGTGGTAAATATTTCAATAAGGCATTTTAAAGGATTTAGAACGTAAAACTTAACTTATTTCTAAATAATTTTAACTACAGCCCCACATTTCGGACGCTTTGCAGCAGCCGTGGTCACCACGGAGGACCTCCGAGTCGCGTCCGAAATCGTTATTTTTTTTTATTGTAATATTTTTGATATTGAATGCCTCCGTAGTTTTACGGTTGAACGCAAGAGGTGTTAAATTCCAAGGAACACAATAAATAGTTTTGATCATATATATACTACGTTCTTAAAAAAATCACTGAATAAGGCCCCTGTTTGTTGCCGGGGAAACTCGATTTCAAACTATCTATTTTCGAAATTCTATGAAAACGTCTCACCATAATGCGGTCAGAAATCCTCACGCCACTTAATTGCCTCAAAAACCGGTGCAATGCAAGGCGTCCGGCGATCGACGGTGGGCGAACAAGCGGACAGATTGTCCAGATACATAACATTACTGGACTAACGAACATCTCAATTTAGCTAGCCACCTGCCTCGTTGGATATATCTCCTTCGACTCAAACGCCTTGAACGATTGGAGAGAGAATTTTTGTAAGTCTCAGAAAAGGAATGTCAAAAAAAATGTCCATGAAAGATGATGGGACCAGATTCAGATTTCCAGACAAAGTGACACATAGCATATTAGATGTTTCAAAATAATTATAAATTGATAAGAAATTTGTTGGACCTAGTGGGGATCAAACCCACGACGCATTAATTATTAACCACTCATTGCCACCATTACACCAAGGGGCTTGCAAAATTTTAAGGCTTTTTTATGCCAAAAGTACACAATGCCAAAGGCTTTTAGACTGAAGCTAGTTACATCTAAGACTCTGCGCCTCGTTCACGGAGGTTGACGCTGTGACTGACAACCACCAGTGGATGGTAGGCATATATTTTGCATAACTTTTAATATACACAAATAGTTATTATTTAAATAGGAATAGTATAACTTCAAAAGGAAAAACCTGCTATGCTAGCGCCATCTGTTGCGTCCTAGTTGGTATTTGGCCAAAAAAAATAATTTTCTAATAACTTTACCTAATATATTGTATAATATATCGCGTTTTAAACTATTTAAGTGTGTTATTTATACGTTGCAATATATTATCTTAACTGATGATGTACATCATAATCTTCTGGTAATAAATTTATGTAAACCTATAAGTATGTTGATCTACCCTCCAATTTTTACTCTGATCTTC